GACCCCGGGAGGGGGAGGCTGAGGTGAGCCAAAACCAAACCAATGCACAAAAAAAAAAAAAAAATGAAATAAAAAAAAAATGTGCTATTCAGTGCTATAAGGTTATGGTGAACTGAGACAACAAGTAATAGCCTTAGGGCTGTGTAGCTATAGTGGAGCACACCAGGGAGCCCATCTGCCAGAGAGCACGGGGATCTTCCAGGTGAGAAGGACTCTGCACCTTGGCAAGTTAGACCTTGGGTCCCCTTGGTTATTCCCTGCGCCCCCCCACCCCCATCCCTTGGCTATTCCTTGCTCTTTTCTAAAAATTCTGGGTGAAGCTAAGGTTTAAGGCATGTACCATTGAAACCACAATGACAGATCTTATCATTTGCATTAGCCCTCTCACCCCACACAAGAACAAATTTGGGCCAGGCACAGTGGCTCATGCCTATAATCCCAACACTTTGGGAGGCCAAACTGGGAGGGTTGCTTGAGCCCTGGAGTTGAGACCAGCCTGTGCAACCTATCAAGACCTAGTCTCTACAGAGGACTCAAAAATTAGCCAGGTACGGGGGTGCACACCTGTGGTCTCAGCTACTCAGGAAGCTGAGGTGGGTGGATCACTTGAGCTTGGGAGTTTAAGGCTGCAGTGAGACATGATGGCACCACTGCACTCCAGCCTGGGTGACAGAGAAAGACCCTGTCTCAAAAAAAAAAGAGAAGAAAAAGAACACATTTGATCTAGGGACACAGCATGCCCAGTGATGTTCTCCTTCATTAACTAATCTTCCAATTTTTTTTTTTGTTTTTGAGACAGAGTCTCACTCTGTTGCCCAGCCTGGAGAGCAGTGGCACGATCTCAGCTCACTGCAACCTCTGCCTCCCGGGTTCAAGCGATTCTCCTGCCTCAGCCTCCCAAGCAGCTGGGACTACAGGCATGTGCCACCACGCCCAGCTAATTTTTGTATTTTTAGTACAGATGGGGTTTAACCATGTTGGCCAGGCTGTTCTTGATCTCTTGATCTCATGATCCACCCACCATGGCCTCCCAAAGTGCTGGGATTACAGGCATGAGCCACCGCGCCCAGCCAAAGTGACCCCATTTCTGTCTGATTTACCCTTTCCCTCAGCAGTGAGGCCAAGCTTGGTTGCACATCAGAGTCATGTAGGGAACTTTCAAAATTTATTTTGCTATTTGTTTTTTTAAGAGACAGGGTCTCCTTCTGTTGCCCAGGCTGGAGTGCACTGGCATAATCATGGCTCACTGCAGCCTCGAACTTCTGGGCTCAAATGATCCTCTCACCTCAGCCTTCTGAGTAGGTGGAATTACAGGCATGCACCAGTGTGCCAGGCTTGTGTTTTTTGAAACACAGATTTTAGGGTATTATTGATTTATTTATACAACAACAATTTCAGCACCTCCTAGGTGATATAATGATCACTGAGAATAGGGCAGGTAGTGAAATAGACAAGGTGCCTTCTCTCAGGAAACTTAAATCTTAGTCAGGGAGACAGACCAGCAAACTTTTTCTGTAAATGGCCAGATAGTAAACACTGTAGGCTTTGTGGGCCACACAAAGTTGAATGTGTAAACCATTCAACCCTGCCCTTGTAGCAGAAAAGCAGGTATATGACAGTATGTAAATGAATGGGCTTGGCTGTGTTCCGATAGAATTTTATTTACGGGCACTGAATTTCTTTTTGCTGGAGGACGGGGAATGGAGTCCCAGCTACTCAGGAGGCTGAGGTGGGAGGATCCCTTGAGCCCAGGAATTTGAGGCTGCAGTAAGCTGTAATTGTGCTACTGCACTCCAGCCTGGGTGACAGAGCAAGAAACTTTCTCTTTTTTTGTTTTTGAGAGGGAGTCTCATTCTATGACCCAGGCTGGAGTGTAGTGGCACGATCTCGGCTCACTGCAACCTCCACCTCCTAGGTTCAAGCAATTCTCCTCCTCAGCCTCCCAAGTAGCTGACTACAGGTGTCCGCCACCATGCCCGGCTAAATTTTTTTTGTATTTTTAATAGAGGCAGGGTTTCACCATCTTGGCTAGCCTGATCTATGAACTCCTGACCTTGTGATCCACCCACCTCTGCCTCCTAAAGTGCATGGATTACAGGTGTCAGCCACCACGCCCAGCCACTTTGTCAAAAATAATAACAATAATAAATAAATAAATAAATAAAATGTAAAAACCTGTCTTAGCTAGCAGTCCACACAAAAATGGGTAGTAGGTCACGACAATCCCTGAGATGGTCAATGAGTGAACAAGTACAAAGTATTATTAATGCCTGAACCACATTTAGTGTGATGCAACAGAAGAGTACCAGTCTAGAAATCCAGTGTCAGTGGGTCTGGTCCCAATCTCATCCTTCTGGATTCTAAGTAAGTCATCTAGCTTTTCTGGGCCTCATTTTCCTCACGATATTAAAATCCTAAAAGCATTTACAATGTTGTGTACAAGTAACATGCATTATGTTGTGATTTAAAAACCAAATGATGGGCTGGGTGCGGTGGCTCATGCCTGTAATCTCAGCACTTTGAGGGGGTGAGGCGGGCAGATCACTTGACCCCAGGAGTTCAAGAACAACCTGGGCAATGTGGGGAAACCGTGTCTCTACAAAAAATGCAAAAATTAGCCAGGTGTGCACACATAGCACGTCCAGCTAATTTTTTTTTCAACCATTTAAAAATGTAAAAACAGCTGAGCGTGGCAGTAGCTGGGCATCGTGTGCCTGTAGTCCCAGCTACTTGGGAGACTGAGGTAGGAAGATTGCTTGAGCCCAGGAGTTTGAAGCCAGCCTGAGCAACATAATGAGACCTAGTCTCTACCAACAACAACAACAAAAAAATTAGCTGGACATGGTGATGCTCGCCTGGGGTCCCAGCTACTATAGGGGGAGGCTGAGGTGGGAGGATCACTTGAGCCTGGGAGGTAAAGGCTGCAGTGAGCCTTGATCGCTGCCACTGCACTCCAGCCTGGTGACAGAGCAAGACCTTGTCTCAAAAATAATTACTAATCGGGCGCAATGGCTCATGCCTGTAATCCCAACACTTTGGGAGGCTGAGGAGGGCAGATCACCTGAGGTCGGGAGTTTGAGACCAGCCTGACCAACATGAAGAACTCCCTCTCTACTAAAAATACAAAATTAGCCAGGTGTGATGGTGCATGCCTGTAATCCCAGCTGCTCAGGAGGCTGAGGCAGGAGAATCGCTTGAACCGGGGAGGCACCATTGCACTCCAGCCTGGACAACAAGAGCAAAACTCCATCTTAAATGAGAATAATAAATTATTTTTAAAAAACAAAACTCAGGCCGGGCGTGGTGGCTCACGCCTGTAACCCCAGCACCTTGGGAGGCCGACGGGCGGATCACGATGTCAAGAGATCCAGACCATTCTGGCCAACGTGGTGAAACACGTCTCTACTAAAAACACAAAAATTAGCTGGGCGTGGTGGCGGGCGCCTGTAGTCCCACCTACTCAGGAGGCTGAGGCAGGAGAATTGCTTGAACCCGGGAGGCGGAGGCTGCAGTGAGCCGAGATCGCGCCACTGCACTCCAGCCTGGCCCCTGGAGACGGAGCGAGACTCTGTCTCAAAAAAAAAAAAAAAAAAAAAACCCGGGCTCCCTCTCAGGCGGACCGCCAGCCGCCGCTGGGTCCAGGGGCTGCTGGATTCGGAGGCGTGGGGACCCCTGAGCCCCTGGCGGCTCCTGGGAAGCCCTCCTGACGTCAACGGGAGGGCAGCACCGAGACGTCCTTCGCGGTAGGCCAGTCCTGGCCACTCCCCTCTCCAACCCGACCAGCTTCGGTAAGCCCTAGGTGTCACAGAAGCGCTCGGGTTTCGCGTGGCACCTGAGAGGTGCCCTTGCCCCGAGGTCCATTTGAGGGTGAGGGTGGCGTTGGTGCCGAGCTGTTTTTTTGTTTTGTTTTGTTTTTGAGACGGAGTCTCGCTCTGTCGCCCTGGCTGGAGTGCAGTGGCTGGATCTCGGCTCACTGCAACCTCCCTCTCCTGGGCTCAAGCGATTCTCGTGCCTCAGCCTCCTGAGTAGCTGGGATTGCAAGCACCAGCCACCACGCCCAGCTAATTTTGGTATTTTTAGTAGTGACGGGTTTTGCCATGTTAGCCAGGCTGGTCTCAAACTCCTGACCTCAGGCGATCTGCCCGCCTCAGCTTCCCAAAGTGCTGGGATTACAGGCATGAGCCACCGTGCCGGCCAGTGCATAGCTGTTTTGACAACTCAGACCCGGGGTCCTCCGTGGATAGGATGATCAGCTCCCTTTTGCTCCTCTGGGGCAGCTGCGCCTCGGCCAGCTTCCTGCCTCTCTCCCTGCCAGCACTGCTGGGTCACAGTCCCCACCTGCACAGCGGGTGCAGGTAAGTCCTGGCCCCTCCTCCTCCCCACCCACCCCCGCCTACCTCTCCCTCCAGTTGTCCTGGTTTTAGCAGTCTGATCATCTTGTTTTCTGACTCTGGTTTTATCCCACCAGCCTATTACCTGCCAGCCTGTCTGTTTCTTTCCAGCTAGAAGAGGTGTTCAGTTTCCAGAAGAGCCAAAGCATCTTTGGACCTAGGTGGGGAAAGACCTGCCTGTGACCTCTGCCCTGTCCTGGAGGGTCCAGCTTTGGGCTGAATGGCAGCATCCATGCTGGGCTGTCTGGTGCTGACCCACCTGCTGGTGGCCCTTTTTGGCATGGGCTCCTGGGCTGCTGTCAATGGGATCTGGGTGGAGCTGCCCGTGGTGGTAAAAGACCTTCCGGAGGGTAAGTAGGAAGGAGTTGCAGGGAAGCATGGGGCAGGTGTGCCCAGGAAGGTGGCCTGTGGCAGCTCTTTGTCCCTTAACCACCATGCTCCTGACATGGCATCGTTCCTTCCCTGCAGGTTGGAGCCTTCCCTCATACCTCTGTGTGTGTGTGGCGCTGGGGAACCTGGGTCTGCTGGTGGTGACCCTATGGAGGCGGCTGGCCCCGGGCAAGGGTGAACGGGTCCCCATCCAGGTGGTACAGGCACTGAGTGTAGTGGGCACAGCCCTGCTGGCCCTTCTGTGGCACCACGTGGTCCCAGTGGCAGGGCAGCTCCACTCTGTGGCCTTCCTGACACTGGCCTTGGTGTTGGCACTAGCCTGCTGTACCTCTAATGTCACTTTCCTGCCCTTCCTGAACCACCTGCCACCTCCTTTCTTAAGGTCTTTCTTCCTGGGTCAGGGTCTCAGTGCCCTGCTCCTCTGTGTGCTGGCCCTTGTGCAGGGTGTGGGCCACCTTGAGTGCCCGACAGCCCCCACCAACAGCACCTCTGGGCCTCCCCTCAACTTCCCTGAGCGTTTTCCTGCCAGCACCTTCTTCTGGGCACTGACTACCCTTCTGGTCACTTCTGCTGCTGCCTTCCAGGGTCTCCTGTTGCTTTTGCCATCACTACCATCTGTAGCCACAGGGGGCTCAGGGCCTGGACGTCAACTGGGATCCCTAGGAGCAGAGGAGAAAGAGAAGGAGGAAGAAGATGATTTGCCATTGCAGGAGCCACCAAGCCAGGCAGCAGGCACCATCCCTGACCCAGACCCTGAAGCCCATCAGTTGCTCTCAGCCCATGGTGCCTTCCTGCTGGGCCTGCTGGCCATCACGAGTGCCCTGACCAATGGTGTGCTGCCTGCTGTGCAGAGCTTTTCCTGCTTGCCCTATGGGCGCCTGGCCTACCACCTGGCTGTGGTGCTGGGCAGTGCTGCCAACCCCCTTGCCTGCTTCCTGGCCATGGGCCTGCTGTGCAGGTGCAAAGGGGCCCCAAGTTCCTTGGTGGGTGGAACACAGGTTGGGGTCCAGGTCCTGGAAAAGCCAGCCCTGAGTCTCTGCTCATCCCTAACAGGTCCCTGGCAGGACTGGGTGGTCTTTCTCTGCTGGGCATGCTCTTTGGGGCCTACCTGATGGCACTGGCGATCCTGAGCCCCTGCCCACCCCTGGTGGGCACCACTGCAGGGGTGATCCTTGTGGTGAGCAAGTGGGGACATGAAGGGGGAGGAGGGTGTTCCCTGGAACAAGTGCATCTCATGCTTAGCCTGCTGCCGTGTCCCCCCTTGCAGGTACTGTCGTGGATGCTGTGTCTGTGTGTGTTCTCATATGTGAAGGTAGCTGCAAGCTCCCTGCTGCATGGTGGGGGCCGGCCAGCATTGCTGGCAGCTGGTGTGGCCATCCAGATGGGCTCCCTGCTTGGTGCCGGCGCCATGTTCCCTCCCACCAGCATCTACCATGTGTTTCAAAGCAGAAAGGACTGTGTAGACCCCTGTGGCCCCTGAGCCTGGGCAGGTGGGGACCCCATTCCACCCAACCTGTCTGCATCTTGAGGCTGCTACAGTTCCCGATTACCTGTGGCCCAGGCAGGCTTCCCCCAACACAGGAATGCTCATGGACACCTGCACACTCTGCAGAAGACCTTGGCACTTCAGGCCAGAGTGGGGACCAAAGAGCAGGCCCGGAGCCAGGTTGGGGCTGTGGGCTTGGCCCCAGGGCCAGAGACCTTTGTGGAATTTGTGCAATAAAGTGTTTTTATTTAAAAAAAAAAAAAAACAAAAAAAAAAACTAATGAAAACCTTATAAAAATGTATTAATGAAATCAGGGACTAGGTTAAATAATTTTTCATATATATTATCTACTGTACAATTAGATTTAAATGCAGATTATAGTGCCTTTCTCATCATGTCTACAGCTTATCTCTTCTTCTGTGGGTTTTCTGGTCAAAAACCTTCCTTAGTCGGCTGGGTGCCATGGCTCACACCTATAATCCCAGCATTTTGGGAGGTTGAGGCAGGTGGATCATGAGGTCGGTCAGGAGATTAAGACCATCCTGGCTAATATGGTGAAACCCCATCTCTACTAAAAATACAAAAATTAGCTGGACGTGGTGGTGCACGCCTGTAGTCCCAGCTACTTGGGAGGCTGAGGTGGGAGAATCACTTGAACCTGGGAGGTGGAAGTTGCAGTGAGCCGAGATCATGTCACTGTACTCCAGCCTGATGACAGAGCAATACTGCATCTCAAAAAAACAAAAATATTTCTTAGTCAAATGAGTCTCTGTCATTTGCTATTTGCTATTATGGGATTGTCCCTTCAAGACAACAGGGTCTTGCTCTCTTGCTCAGGCTGGAGTGCAGTGGCGTGATATGGCTCACTGCAACCTCTGCCTCCCAAGTTCAACAGATTCTCTTGCCTCAGCCTCCTGAGGATATGGGATTACCGGCGTGCCACACAACTCCCAGCTAAGTTTGGAATTTTTAGTAGAGAGGAGGTTTCACCATAGTGGCCAGGCTGGTCTTGAACTCTTAACCTCAGGTGATCCACCTGCTTCGGCCTCCCAAAGTGCTGGGATTACAAGCGTGAACCAATGCGCCCTTTTTCTTTTTTTTTTTTTTTTTAGTAGACTATGTGACCCCCATGGTCACACTGTTGACCAACTCCTGGCCTCAAGTGATCCTCCCATCTCAGCATCCCAAAGTGCTGGGATTACAGGTGTGAGCCACCATGTCCAGCCTCCTATGCACAGATTTCTAAAAATCTTGTTTACCAATCATCATTCTTTTCCCTCTGTAGTCCCCTCATAACGGTGCTAAGCGCTTAGTATAGGTAGGTGTATAATAAATATTTGTTGAACAAACCTATTAGGACCCATTTTCAGGAGACAGCAATGGATACTTTGGGGTGATGGAAACATGGATTACTTCTATTTTCTACCTTCTGCTTTTCTGTATTTGTTAAATTTCAAATAAAGCAAACCCTGATCCAAAACTTCCTCTAGTAAAGGGGCATCATTTCCCCTAAGGTTGATCTACCCCTTTGCCAAGTCCCTAAAGAAGTTGCTCAATGAAGACTTTCCTTTCTTTGGAACTCTATAGCATCCACGAAGGGAAAGAAATGCTGACTCTGAAAGGAGTCAGGTCCTCCCTTGTGGAAAACGAAGATGACAGCTAGTACTGCGGTAAGAAGAAATCCCCGGGGGGCTCCCCGCCCACCTCCCGACCTTCCTCCAGCCCCAGCTCCAGCCGCGCGGAATACTGAAACAGCCCAAGCCTGGAGCCGCGTCACGCCCAGCCAGCCTTCTGCGCGTGCGCCCTCCCGCCCCGCCTCCGGGAGTCTCAAGGGCGCACAGGGCCGCGGGCGCCCGCACGGCCACTCTGTCGAGGCTCCGTGAACGCTCAAGCAAAAGCAAAGACATCCTTTGAGGGAACCTTTTCTCCCCCTGGCGGACAAGAGTGGAACAACAGGGCTTGAGGAGAAGTTTTGACAGGTTGGGGGTGACATCTTTTCAGACCTGACCTCGTATTTTGTTTGTTTTTGTTTTTGAGATGGAGCCTCTCTCTGACGCCCAGGATGGAGTGCAGTGGCGCGATTAGGCTCACAGCGACCTCCGCCTCCTGGGTTCAAGAGATTCTCCTGCCTCAGCCTCCCAAGTAGCTGCGATTACAGGCACCCGGCAACACCTCCTGTTCATTTTTGTATTTTTAGTAGAGACGGGGTTTCACCATATTGGCCAGGCTAGCCTCGAACTCCTGACCTCGTGATCGGCCCACCTCGGCCTCCCAAAGTGCTGGGATTACAGCGTGAGCCACTTCGCCCAGCCTGAGACCTGACCTCCTTTTGCAAGTGCCTCTCTTCTTTCTCAACGCCTCATCCCCAGTTCAGAATAAAGAAAAAGGGAAGCCACCAACCTTCTAAAGCTCCTAAAATGTGCTAGACCCTTTACACATATTACCAGTAAATCTTCCCAACAGCTTCATTATAAGTCCTATTTTGCAGAGAAGAAAATTGAGGCTCAGAGAAGGTGACTTACCCAGAATAACACAGCTAATTAGTGAGAAGACTGGACCCAGGTCTGTGTGCTCCAAAGATTCTCACTGCAGCCCTCACCTGTTGGGGATGAGGCTCTGGACTTGGAGAAAGGAGAGCAGCTTCTCTGCAGCTGAAGAGGCTCTGCAAGAAGCCCAGAACAGGCAGGGTGCTGTAGCTCACGTCTATAATCCTGGTACTTTGGGAGGCTGAGGTAGAAGGCTCATGAGCCCAGAAGGTTGCGACCAGGCTGGACAACATAGCAAGATTCCTGCCTCTACAAAAACAAAACATAGCCAGAACCAAGCACCTGTAGTCTCAACTACTGGGGAGGATGAGGCAGGAGGATCCCTTGAGCCTAGGAATTCGAGGCCTCAGTGAGCTATCGACACAACACTGCACTCAGTGACAGAGCAAGATCCTGTCTTCCTGCCTTTAAGAAACAAACAACAGTCTGGACACGGTGGCTCATGCCTGTAATCCCTACACTTTGGGAGGACAAGGCGGGCAGATCACAAGGTCAGAAGTTCAAGACCAGCTTGACCAACATAGTGAAACTCTGTCTCTACTAAAAACACAAAAATTAGCCCGGGGTGGTGGCGCGCCTGTAATTCCAGTTACTCAGGAGGCTGAGGCAGGAGAATCGCTTGAACTCAGGAGTTGGAGGTTGCAATGAGCCAAGATTTCGCCATTGGACTCCAGACTGGGTGACAGAGCAAAACTCCGTCTCAAAAAAAAAAAAAAAAAACGGCCAGGCGCTGTGGCTCACACCTGTAATCCCAGCACTTTGGAAGGCTGAGGCGGGTGGGTGGATCATGAGGTCAGGAGTTCGAGACCAGCCTGACTAACATGGTGAAACCCTGTATCTACTAAAAATACAAAAATTAGCTGGGCGTGATGACATGCACCTGTAATCACAGCTACTTGGGAGGCTGAGGCAGAAGAATTGCTTGAACCCAGAAGGCAGAGGTTGCAGTGAGCCGAGATCGCGCCACTGCACTCCAGCCTGGGTGACAGAGCAAGACTCTATCTCAAAAAAACAAAAACAAAAACAAACAAAACAAAAACAAAAAAACCAGAACAGCTTCCCTAGTCATTTGTAAAGAATCTTTAGTGGGTTGTACCACAGGGCAAGACTTTCCCAGGTGTCTCAAAATATTCCTTCTCCAGTGATTAAGGTGGGGAGGGCAAGTGGGAGAAGAAATCGGAGGAGTTGAGATGGAAATCCTCATTGGTGAGGCTGTCTGGGACAAGGAAGGTTTTTATTTTGTTGTTTTTGTTTTGTTTTGTTGTTGTTTCGACACTGAGTCTCACTCTGTCACCCAGGCTGGAGTGCAGTGGCGTGATCACCGCCTACTGCAACCTCCACCTCACGGGTTCAAGCGATTCTCCTGCCTCAGCCTCCCGAGTAGCTGGGATTACAGGCGCATACCACCACGCTCAGCTAATTTTTTGTACTTTTTTTTTTTTTTTTTTTGAGACGGAGTTTCGCTCTTGTTACCCAGGCTGGAGTGCAATGGCGCGATCTCGGCTCACCGCAACCTCCGCCTCCTGGGTTCAGGCAATTCTCCTGCCTCAGCCTCCTGAGTAGCTGGGATTACAGGCATGCGCCACCATGCCCAGCTAATTTTTTGTATTTTTAGTAGAGACGGGGTTTCACCGTGTTGACCAGGATGGTCTCGATCTGTTGACCTCGTGATCCACCCGCCTCGGCCTCCCAAAGTGCTGGGATTACAGGCGTGAGCCACCGCGCCCGGCCATTTTTTGTATTTTTAGTAGAGATGGAGTTTCACCATGTTGGCCAGGCTGGTCTCGAACTCCTGACCTCAGGTGATCCACCTGCCTCAGTCTTCCAGAGTGCTGGGATTACAGGCATGAGCCACAATTCCAGGCCGTTTGGGACACGGCAGGTTAATGTTTGCTCCTTCAACTGTGAAATTGTTGAAGGATGAAAGAAGCAGTTTCTAAAACTCACATCTGTTGACCAGGCCTTTAGATGAAACGTACTATCCAGATGATGCCACAGTCTCTTTCTGCCTTTCAGTAGAAACAGAACTGGGTAGCAGGAGTGAGAACACTCCTGTATAATAAGGCAAAGGCTGCTGGCCTTTGACCTCAAGAGACGGACACTAAGCCAACCTTAACTGAGTAGCTAGAGATGTTAACGAGGCAACATCTGTGACCCAGATTAGATTAAGTAGGATATTTAAAGCCAGCCTGCCTTGAATAGTGTTGAGTAGCAGAAGAAGCAAGTCCGAGGGACATCCAGGGGCCCACAGACTCTGTTTGAAGGAATAGGATGATGGTGCAAGCGTTGTTTGTGACTCATCAGGAGTGGCAACCTTTGGGCATGATGAGTGGAACCACCTGAACCAAAATGGCATCCAGTAGCTGTGGACACTAACTCTTTAAAAGGGAAAAGCAGGCTGGGCACAGTGGCTCACATCTGTAATCTCAACACTTTGGAAGCCAAGGCAGGTGGATCAAGAGGTCAAGAGATCAAGACCATCCTGGCCAACATGGTGAAACCCCATCTCTACTAAAAATATGAAAAATTTGCTGGGCATGATGGCCTGTAATCCCAGCTATTCAAAGGCTGAAGCAGGAGAATGGCTTGAACCCAGGAGGCAGAGGTTGCAGTGAGCCGAGATCGCGCCACTGCACTCCAGCCTGACAACAGAGCAAGATTCCATCTCAAAAATAGAATAAAATAAATGAATAATAAAATAAAATGGAAAAGAAGGCTGGGCGCAGTGGCTCATGCCTGTAATCCTAGCACATTGGGAGGCAGGTGTGCATGGATCGCTTGAGCTCTGAAGTTCCAG